CAGATACTCTATACTAATGTACTTAAAGTACAATGTGTAGTTTTTACCGTTAATCTCTGGAAATATCCATCAAACGTTATTGAAAATAAGATAATGTCCAGTTGTTGAAAAATATTGACGGCTTTGTAACATATAACCATAAAAATCGGGTCTAAAGTGCATAGTGATGGGTCTACAGCGTCTTTGGAGGACGCCATATTAGACGCCATGTTTCCTTCTGGCCGTCTTGTCTGTCGATGATGTCACACTAGATGATTGGCTGGATATACGACTTGCAGAAGTCATGTTACCGCGTTCAAAAACATTTAGGCAGTAAGAAACACAAATTTAATAACAAAAGTGCTAAACTCCAAAAACTAAACTTCCAAAACATATGTAAAAAAAACAGAATCAAAAAAGAGATGTAATATATTTTGGCTGAGCGGTAGTATGATGATGTCATCGGCGGGCAGAACTCCCGAGTAGATCCTGAAAGTACAGAGAGGTCGGCTCAAGATGGCGACCAGTGCGGAGGTGTTGTGAGGAGCTCCGTGACTGAGTTGTACCACGTTAACAAAGGCAAATAGACCATATACTGCCGTCATTATTGTTCAAGGTACCTTTTATGCACAAGGTAAGAGGAAGAATAACTTGTTACTGAAAGAATATTCACCGCCACGTTGACTGTTTCTAGCTAATGGTAAATGGCCTGTAGTTGATATAGTGCCTTCTAGAGTCCTGGAACCCCCCAAGGCGCTTTACAACACAATCATTCATCCATTCACACACACAGTCACACACTGGTGGTGATGAGCTACGATGTAGTCACAGCTGCCCTGGGGCACACTGACAGAGGCGAGGCTGCCGAGCACAGGCGCCACCGGTCCCTCCGACCACCACCAGCAGGCAACGTGGGTTAAGTGTCTTGCCCAAGGACACAACGACAGCGACAGACTGAGCGGGGCTCGAACCTGCAACCTTCCGATTACGGGGCGAGCACTTAACTCCAGTGCCACCGTTGACCAGCTGGCTAGCTTACAGTCATCTCCGCTCATCTTTTGAAATGTCAAAAAGAGGACTGAAAAATTCCAAAGCGGGAGCCTCTTTGCTGCAACGAGGTATGCATGACTTTGATGCTGCTGTCACTCCACTACCTGTTACACCCACAAAGAGCTCTGATACAAAAAAGCAAAATCAGCTAATATCTCCCCTGAAGGAACATCTAATGATGACATCTTGAAAGCCGTAATGGAGCTATCTGGCCGCTTTGCAGCGCTAGAGCAGAAAATAACTAAAAATACAGAAGTCATCGCTAATACCTGTGATCAGCTAAAAGCAGTTGAAATTCATGTACAGAAGAACGAAAATAAGATTAAAGATGTATCGGAGCAGATGGTTAAGGTGCAGCAAAGAAGTGATGATGCCGAGCGATGCAGCAGACGCTGGAACCTGCGGCTGTAAGGCAAGAAAGAAACACCGGGGGAAAACATCAGAGAGGAGATAATGAAGCTCTTGGTTGCGCTTGCACCAGAGGATAAGGAAAAGTTGGATTTCCTTGTTGTTACTGTGCACAGGGTTGGTGTAGCCCGGGACAATTCCATTCGACCTGTCATTATTCAGTTCATTCTGCGAGTTTTCAGAAACAAAATCTGGAAGGTATCCCGTGACAACAAAAAACTTAAAGAGAAGAAACTGTTCCTGAAGGAAGATCTGAAACAGGCTGACCGAATGTAACGAAATCGGTTGAGGCCGATAGTGGAGGAAGCTCGGAAGCAAGGAAAGCATGCTGGCTTCAGAGGCCCTCATGTCTACATAGGGAAAAAGTCACTCACTAGACGTAGATTTAAAGCTGTGTAACGATGGATGATGGTAAAATTATTTTCAGTTAATTCTTGAAAAAGGTTTAAAAATGTGCATAAAGCAAATGGGTACTTGCAGTTAAGGATAAAGGTTTGTAAGTACTATTCTTTTTTTTTCTTCTGAGTGAGTGTTATTGACATCAGCAATTTGTTCAAATATGACAAGTTTTAGTTTTAAGGCACTAAATGTTTGTTCACTTAATGTTAGGGGTCTACGGGAAATCACAAAGAGAAAGGCAATTTTCATATTTTGTAGGAACTGCAATGCAGACTTCGTTTTTCTGCAAGAGACTCATTCATGCAAGGATGACGAAAAGTTTTGGAAGTCACAATGGGGGGAGTCCATAGTTTTTTCTCATGGCTCAGGCCTAGTCCACACGTAGCCGGGTTTTTTTAAAAACGAATATCCGCCCCTCCAAAAACTTGCATCCACACCACCTCGTTTTAGAAAAAAATTCTATCCACACGTACCTGGATAAATACATTGTTAAGGACATGCCAGACCTGTAGGCGACAGTACTTCCCCCGTTCTTAACCTCGTCCTTCGTCTGTGGTCTTCCGCAAGGAGCAGTAATTCCGCTTGCAAAACCAAACAAGCAAAAAGCGCTTGGACAATCGATAAAGCGAGCGCAGCTCTGAGGGCATCCATGCTGTCGGCTGGTGTAAACACAGGTCGCACACGTGATGTCAGCATTTTTTTTGTCGCGGAAAGTGACGTTGGGGACCTTAAAACTCCGGTTTTGTCTGTCCACACGCAGACACCCAAAACGGAGAAAACGCAGATCTTCACTTTGGCCGGAGTTTTTAAAAAGATCCGTTTTTGTGTGAAAAAAACTCAGTTTTCGTGTGGATGACAGGCCAAAACGTAGTAAAATATCTACGTTTTGGCAGATCCCCGGCTACGTGTGGACAGGGCCTTAGATCACTCTGCTGGCACGGCAATTCTGTTAAATAGATTTTGTGGTGACATACTGCAGTTTGTAGTGTCAAATGAAGGTCGATGGCTTATGTTGGCTGTGAAATTAGATAACCAACATTTTATTTTTGGAAATGTTTATGGCCCAAATAATTCATCTCAGGCAAGAACTGTTTTTCAGGAATTTTCTTTAAAGTTGGATTTTTTGAAAGCAAAATACAATAACCCCATTGTAATTATTGGTGGTGACTTTAATGATGTTTCAGATGATATTGTGGACCGGCTTCCTCCAAGGTTTACATCAAGAAATTTCAAACTTACTGAATTCTTGAGCGCAAATTACCATCTTACAGATGTGTGGAGATGTATGAACCCTGACGCTACACAATATACATGGTCCAATTCTAGCAGGAGTTCCCAGTCACGAATAGATTTATGGTTAATGTCTACACATGGACTACAATATGTCACAGACGTTTCTCACTCTCATGCCCCATTATCTGATCATAAATTAATAAATCTTAGATTAAAAGGAGTTAAAGAACAACCAAGTATTAGAGGCTATTGGAAATTTAACAATGACCTTTTTGGATGATAGAAAATTTAAGGAAGGTGTTACATTTTTGGTTGAGAAAATTTTTAAGGAAAGGGAGATGGATCCAATTCAAAAGTGGGAGTTTTTCAAATAAAAGGTTCGTGAAACAGCAATAAGACATTGTAAAGCAATGAAGAAACAGAACACAAATAAAATGCAAAATTTGATTGTTAAATTAGAGCCCCTAATATCTAAGCAAGGCTTTTCTGAAGGTGAATAAAAAATTCTGTCCAATCTAAAAGAAGAACTTGAAAAAATGTATGTCAATTTAGCTAAAGGTGCGTTCATAAGGTCTAGAGCTAAATGGTTAGAGAAAGGAGAGAAAAACTCTAGTTACTTTTTTGCTCTAGAAAAAAGAAACGGGAAAAGAAACAACACGGTGGCTCTTAATATTAATGGTATAATAAACTCAGACCCTGTTATTATCGCCAATTATACTACCTCATTTTACAGTGATTTGTATTCTCGTTGTTGTCGTCGTCATCATCTTCCTCCGCCTATCCGTGTCCAGGTCGCGAGGGCAGCATCCCAACTAGGGAGCCCCAGACCGTCCTCTTCCCGGCCACCTCCACCAGCTCCTCCGGCAGGACCCCAAGGCGTTCCCGGACCAGATTGGAGATGTAACCTCTCCAACGTGTCCTGGGTCGACCCGGGGACCTCCTGCCGGCAGGACATGCCCGAAACACCTCCCCGGGGAGGCATCCAGGAGGCATCCTGACCAGATGCCCAAACCACCTCAGCTGACTCCTTTCGATCCGGAGGAGCAGCGGTTCTACTCCGAGTCCCTCCCGAATGTCCGAGCTCCTTACCCTATCTCTAAGGCTGAGCCCGGCCACCCTACGGAGAAAACTCTTTTCAGCCGCTTGTATCCGCGATCTCGTTCTTTCGGTCATTACCCATTAGGGCTGCAACAACGAATCGATAAATTCGATGAAAATCGATTACTAAAAGCGTTGGCAACGAATTGCGTCATCGATTCGTTGTGTCGCACAACTCTTCCAAAAGCGTCCCCCCCCCCACACACCCCCCACCCCCCTTCCCGCCCGCCGTTGCGCGCAGACCAGAGCAAGTCAGATCAGCGCGAGGGAGAGCCGGCAGATCAGCGCAAGGGAGAGCCGCAGATCAGCGTGAGGGAGAGCCGGTAGCGGCAGATCAGCGCGAGGGAGAGCCGGCAGACTTGCGCTGCTGCGAACCGGTTCCGCATTGTTGCACAGCGATCCAGGCAGCTGCTTCCAGCGCACGGTCCATTCTCAAAGTGGCGCAACCAAAAAACTATAATTAGCACACGATCGTTCATGTCCGCACATGTTCTCTATTTTCTGTCTTATTTGTGCCTGAAGCTCGCTACTGTGGAGCTCATCACCTGTGCTGCGGTGATTTCACCTCACGCAGCATCGAAAACGCGCTCTGCGCTTTGCGGTCAGGAGATCCCTTTGATCTGCTCAAAAGTAACTGATGAGGTGAAAAGGTAAGAATCCAGGCAGCAGTTTTTCTGGAGAATTAAGAGGAGATGCAGGAAGATGAGAGACAGACAGGACAGGAAAATAGTTCAATAAAAACAAGAAAACAAAACAAAGTGTTGAAAAGTAAAATGTAGGTAGATTTATCTCCACTACACGTTTTTACCAGTAAAAAACAATA